GGTACATTGTTCTGATTTTCATTTTTTTACATTTTTGATTATATTCTTTGATCGAATTAACGCCCCTATCTGCTGTATAATAATAAGTATAATTTCTTTAGCTTGTTTGAACTTTTCTATATCGTGTCATAGATTTAGGGTTTTCCGTAAAAAATTATCAAAAATTTAAAATCATTCAAATACTTTCCATGATTTATTTGTCAATTGGAAGATTTTTTTAAAAAAATTTGATAAATCATTGGAGTTCAAATTACATTTTTTTTTTTTTGATTCTTCATTTTAATTTTCGTTATCTATATTGTTAATATTTTGTTCTTTTCCGTCTAAAATTTCGTTTGCCATTTGATGTTTTATTCCATTATCATAACAGTTGTTAAATATAGGAAACACAAAATTTTCTTGATTTTGTAACTTGGTTTACGATAAGAAAATTAACCATAAAATACTATGATTACTACAAAAAACATTTTTGAAGTATTAAATGCTAAATATAACATGAATTACGAAATTAAGAGGAATATTGTAAGATTAATAGTTATTGACAATATTTCTTTATTTTATAAAATTAATGTACATTTTCATCTTATTTATTAAATTTCATGAGTAAAACTCAAAAAATCAGAATTATACACTCGTCAGTAATTTTTTAAACCTCTTAAATCACGAAAAAATATTACATCACTAAATTCTGCCTAAATTACTTTTATATTATATCAAATAAAATAAGGGGAGGGAGGTTATGATTCAAGAAAATAAAAATTAATATTAATGCCCTCTCCTGTAAGTCAGGATAACCCTAATATACATAATATATATAAATAAACCTATAACAATTAATTTAAAAAAAATAAATATTATATCGATGTTACCTTTTGAACATAAGCTTTCACATAAAAGTTCCCAAATAATCCAATAAATGAAATCATGTAAATCACCAATAAATATTGCATCCAAATGGGAAATTTGCATCCAGATTTAATTCCATGGATACCCAAAAATAGAGCAGTAGTAAATTGAATCTATATTAAGGGTAATTAAATAGCTATTAAATTATCTAAAATTGAATAATTTAAATACAAATGAAAATTAATCAACATTTTTACAAACCAATTGTATTATGGTCAAGTACTTTTTCCACCATAAATACTTTTCAATCTTTAGACCCAAGGCACTCAAGGCATAATACGAATACATAAGCACGTGTATAAAACTGTTAACCATTGCCGGTAAAAACGTTGAACCACTAGGAACCCATTTTACTGCCATCCACCACAAAGAGAACATAGTAGAATGATGATAAACGTGTAGGAAAGTAAGTTGTTTATCTTTTTTTCTAAGAATGAAGAATATCGTATCGCAAAACTCTAAGAGTTTCGAAAAATAGTACCACCAAACTGCTTTCAATAACTAAAGTATAAAATATAAAAAAATATTATAAAACATTAAATTATTAAATTTTCTAGAAGAATATTTGAAAAATGCAAAAATAACAATTTTTTTGTATTTATATATTATTCATACATATGTACATTCGTGTTTATACTGTTTCTATAGTATTCAAAATACAAAAAAAAGAAAATTGAAAAATAATTACGCGTAAATACTATACAAAAAGCTATAAATGTGTTTATTTTTAGAACTAAATTACCCTTAATTCGTCGTTATTATTAATAAATGTAAGTGGTTGACAAACATAACTATAACGCAAAAGACTAGACGCCACTAGTAGCTGAAAATGAAATGTCATAATTTTAATTTGGTACAGTAATTTCAAAAGGTAAAATTATTCGGCATACTTCAATAGCTATATATAAATTCAACAGAGTCATAAAAACATTGTACTGTATTAAAATAAATGTTAGCTTAAACGGTTTTCGATTTTTCATGTATCTCGGGCCCAGACCAACGATTATAAAATAAATTACTGTGTAGATTATTGTGGGTGCAGGTGAATCAATCATCAACCAACCTTTTGTTCGATCGTCTGCAACAAGAAATAGAAGGTTTCGTTTATACTTTTATAAGTATTATAACATACATATTAATCTAGATATTATTTTTAATTGGATTTAACTCGACAAGATCAAATTAAATGTAAATTAATATACATATATAAATTGTATACATGTATTTTGCGAGAGTGCATACATAATCTGCACTTCTGCAACTATACCAAACATTATTATTCAATATATATTTTTCATGACTTTTTTTTCTGTTGATTAAAATATGAAAAATAAATTAAATATAAAACGGATTTTAAGTCAATAAATATCCTATTTTTTTATAGTGTGGCCCAGTATGCTTTTTCGATAGAAATCTTTTCGTAAATATTAATTTTTTTATTATTAAACACGAAACCTAGGGCTGTCGATTTAAAAACACAAGAGACCATACTTCGTTCAACTTTATAACAAACAAACGTTCCAAAATTATTTCCCCAGCTTCTCCAACCTATTGAGCAATTCACACAAACAGACATTCTGACTTCCTTGCTTTATTTCCCTCCAACCTATCAAATATAAACATCACGATACATAAACATAAACGATCTAGCGATAAACCACACATCAGTTACTCTCAAAACTCAACCCAATATAGACATTAATCCAATCGTCAAAAAGAAAACGTATCTGAATAAGTTTCCTAATATATTAACCACTAACTCATCTCTTAATATAAAATTAAAAATTGACGGTATTGATAATACCATAAACACCCCAACAAAAAACATTCAAAACACCATTCAAATATCTACCACCACTTATAAATTTCAAGAATGTCTAAACAAAAATACTACTGCCAAAATAAAAAGGCTCATTCTGTTAAAATAATAATTATAATAATAATTCTGTTAAATAATTTCAACATCAGTCACGGAACACCTGGCAACAGAATCACTATCCAGTCGACAAGGAATGTTACATTTATTACACTAACAAATTTAAATATTTTCTTAAGAAGTACAAAAATCACTTATACACCATCTATCTTCAATCTTTATCTCTCTCAAATGGTTCTCTATGTAAATAACACAAAATCACTTTTAAAACACTTAACAGTCATTCCCTCTCTTCGGCACTAAAGTAACAGTCTCGCCACCACTCCTCAAGAAATATCTGATCTTTTGGTCAACCACTTTGCCAGCATAATCAAATTTCATCACATCTCACCAGAAGCTCTTCGCCTACTTCAAGTGGAACAATTAATTTCATCATAACTACCAAGGGCATTGCCAGCATCACCTACTTCACCCAGAGATGTTCTCTCGGTTATGAAAAAACTAAAGAAAAATAAATCACCAAGCCATCATCACATAAACAACTTAATAGTTAAAATCTACCACCAAAAACCATTATCCTCCTCACCAGGGTTACCTTATCCGTTAATTTTTGGTTCAGTTCTATAATTTGTTTTTGAACTTTATTTGTGATAAACATTAAATCAAGCTATGTTTAACAAACGGTTTTAGATTGTATCGTTATAAACTAAATGGTTCACCTAACATTTTAATAGAAAAACATTAAAATTGTTTATGTTTTTTGAAATTTTTGCTAAAAAACCATAAAAAAAAATTAATGTTCTTGAATAATAGACCTAATAAACGTTGTTAATTTATTCGTTCTTGTAAATTTAATTAGAAGAATGTTTTGTAATATTACGTTCTTCAACATTTAATCAAAATAACTTATCGAAATAATACGTTCTTGAACATTTAATCAGTAGACGTTTTACAGTCATATGTTCTCGAATGCTTTAAAGTTATACGTTCTTGAATAACGTTTCTATTTCTTGAACGTTCTGAAAATGAACACAATTTTGAAGATGACCAAGTTCGCATAGACAAAGAAAACAGTAACAATGTTTCTGAATTTTCTGATGAAGATATAATATAATAAATGAACAAGGAAATAAAAATAATCAGTAGACATTGTCTTTAATCTTCAACGATTTGGGTGCAGCAGTCAATACATCAGAGATATTAAGTTGTATGTGATGTGATGTGCTGCTCATACTTAACAACTATCTATTCTAGATGTATTTAAAATAGAAAGTATAAAATCAACTATAAACAAATCACGGAGATTGGTGAAGAGATTATCAAAAAATTTGGAAGCTCTCAAGAATATGGATATACTACTATATTATTACACATAATAACTTATTACCTATATTATCATCATAATATTATATCCTCTTATATTGTCAAAAATAAATGATCGGCTATTGGATTTATTTTGGCTAAAGCTTCTTTAGTTCTACTATTGGGGTATATTTTTAATCCTAATCTTAGTTATTAGTAAAGATAGGACTAGATGTAATTCAAGTTTTAGATTTTGATGTTAAATTACTAATTACTCTTAATAATTTTAAATTCAAAATAGTTAAAAGATAATTTTGATTCATTACGTGATTTTCAAAATTTGAAGAACGGTTCAGTTTGTGTTGTTCTATTTGTTAAAAGTTTAAAGAACGTGTTAGCTTATTACGTTCTTCGTATAATTGTTTAAAGAACTTAATAAGTTATAACATTTTTCTTGTAATTTTTATAAGAACTTAATAAGTTATAACGTTTTTCTAGTAATTGTTCAAAAAACTTGATAGGTTATGGCGCTTTTCATATCAATTTTTTAAAGAATTTTTAAGATTTTAACGTTTTTCATGAATAATAAAGATATTTACCTGTTAAAATTAATTATTTAAGAGCATTTTTGGTTGGTATTAGTGTATTAGTTGGTTTTAGTGTATTTAAATCCGGACTCTAGTTATTATATTTCAACAACACTGCGTTTGTAAAATGTTGGTTTTTTTTTTTTTAATTAACTTTTACATTCTAATGTTAATTTTTTACAAATTATCAAACAACCTAATTATAGCTTACTATGAAACCTACATTCAATAGCAGCTACAAGTATAACTATAATCTTGAGCTTTAACTTTTGTACCTAACATTAATTTACATATAAAATGTATTATATATTATTAAGACATTTACTTACCTGAAATCGATAAAGACCATTGGTAAAATTCATTTATTTTTTCAGTAATTGGCAAAGTATAATTCATAATTGCAAATATGTTGACAAGATATAAATTAATTTAAATAGTATGTGTAATATAAACATACAATTTCTTAAATGTAAGTTGAGACTGAGAGTTGAATGTTGATTAGCATACACCGTATCTTAATATAATATTCTTAACTAAAAATCAGACAACATCAGCTAACTGAAATCCACTAAAAATATTTTAAGTCCATCCAAAATACTGAACTAAAGATGACTGTCGAATTGCAACTATTAAAATGGCCAATCGATTGTAGACATGTACAATATACCATCCTTGTGTTGTACATATATGCTCATTTCCCACTCGTTTGGTTTGTACGCACATAGAAAACATACATGGACGTAGCTAATATTTGAATCAGGGGGGGGGGGGCAAAAACATAACGCGAGTAGTGTTAAACTCGTAATTCAAATAATCTACAGAAAGACCATTGGATAAAACATAAAACATCAAAACGATTACACGTGTAAATAACACTGGTTCACACTAAACTATTTTTAGACTTATATCTTATTTAATTTTTGATTTTAATGTAAAACTTACACGTTTGGTATAAAAAAAAATATAATTCAGTTTGAGGCACAGCCCCCCCCCCCCCCGGTCAGGTATCCCCTTGCCCCATCTACGCTACGCCATTGAAAACATATTACTAACAAGAGCGTCCATCATCAAACATCTAAGGAGGACACATGTGATCGAAGCCTCTCTACCTCTCGACCATTGTTATAAATTGATTTATAATTAGTACATATGATATCCAGAATTTATTCTCCCATGGTAAAGTGTTGTTCATGAGAGATTAGATTAACCATTAAAATTAATTTAATATAACGTAATAATTATAATTTATTATGTACAAATGTATAATAGACACGAAAAAACCTGGGGGCCATGTCGCCTCTTTCTTACTAGCACAAGTTATTTCATAAATCAATCAACTGTTTGACCAAATAGTTTTCACTATCTAGGCCAATGTATGTATATAACAATTGAAATATAAAAGTCATTCACGAAAGTAATATAATATTTTACAACTGTAATTTCATTTTTTGTTGAATTGATTTCCCTACATAATAAGGTACTATTATTGGTTTGTATCTATTTGGTTATAGAAATTAATATTAAAGATTTTACTGTCAAATGATATTTTGAAATCAATAAGTTTAATGATTAAGTATTGCTGACAGGCTCATACTGGCCCACCAGACAACCGGACAGATGCACGACGCGCCCATAAAAATTACAGCTACATTAAGATTTTGGAGAGATATCCATTGTTTCTCATTAACAAGTAACAAATAACTCGATGGTCTTCAGTAATACGTCATTGAAAAACGTTTATATTTTTGTGAAGACAAGCGTTAAACCTAAATTATTATTCTTTAATCTGTAATCTATTGAGCCATAGGTAACCTGAAGCATTAAATAACAAAAAATTAAGGTGCCCTTAAATATCTTCGTAACCACTCCATAAAAGCAGCCAGTACGGACCTGTTTGCTGGTATCCAATCTTGTAAAGTACTTGAATAAAAATAATTAGATAAAAATATTCAAATACTTTTCATGTAGGAACTCAAATACGTATTTTAAATAGTTATGAAAAAATAATTGGATATAGTATTTCAAATACTATATTACAATAATAATTACATTATTACATATTACATTAATAAAAATTACTATAATACTTTCCCAGAGTATCTATACTTAAAATCAAATACTTTTTTTTACAAATTTAATATCTACTTTATCACATTATTATTCCAACCTATTCCAACCAATTATATTAATACTACCAGAATCTAAGAACCCTATTTATAGTCCACAACATTATACACTATTAGACTATAATATACTACATGACTACCCGTATAAATTTACAATTTCATAACAAAATTGGAAATTCGTTTAATTTTTATTTTTCAATTACATTTAATTCTAATTTATGGCTTATGGGAACTCTGAACTATTTTATTCATTGCAGTCATGTAAGGCATGAATATATTTTTTAAATTCTTTTACATTTTTTTTTTTTGTGATAATAGGGTAAATAACGTTATAATATTTTTGAAGTATTTAAAAGTATATATTAATACTTTTTTGAAGTATCTATATTTGTACTTGAATACTTATCTTATGAAGTATTCAAATACGTATTTTAAACATTTTTGAAAACAAGTAACGCATAAAACATGATTGCGTACGTTCGTTGTTGGCGATACCTTTTTAAGCTACACTATTCCGTACGATTTTACCTGATTTTTAACTACACTATTGCGTAAACTTAGAGAAAATATCACCTTCTTCAAATATTAAACGATTAAAAATTATGTGCTCTGCACGTTGGGTCGAACGGCACGATTCAATTTTAGTATTCCTTGAACTTTTTGATTCCATTTTAGAAGTACTAGAAGAAATTAGTCAATAGGTAGATTTAGATATTTCATTTAAAACTAAACGACTCTTGAGTGCTCTGTAAGAGCCAGAATTTGTTATAATTACTCATATTGTTGCTTAAGTATTTTCAATAAGTATGTCACTTAGTTACAAACTGAAAATATTGATTTGGTTTTGGCACTGCAGTTGGCAAACAATGTAAGAACAGTTTTCCAAGACTTAAGAAGAGACTCAACTGAAGGATTTTCCAATGAGTTCAAGAAAATTGAAGAGCGGAGTAAAATTTGTATATTGACTTTTATAAGCTATCCAGAATACAAAAAAAATCAATAAATGGAAGTATTACATCGTTACATACATCGAGACATTCCATTATCTACAAAACAAATAATTGTTGAATTTAGTGTAAAAGTCAGAAGAATGAATTTCCGCCTTGATTGTTTTTTTTTTTTATAATAATAAAGAATAAAGATTGAAAATAATACATTTTTATTTATGACATCCCCCCCCCATACCAAATTCCTACACACGCCACTATGCTCCACATTAAGTACATATTTGGCACCACTGTTAATAAGTATAGGTATGTAAGAAGACGGAATGCATAAATGGCTTTGTACAATTAAAACGTATTACGCAAGCATAGTTACTGATGCGCATAAAACTTCAATTGTAAGTATTAATAGTGAACATATGCAAGAACCTAATTCTGATAAGAAAATAGAACGACAAATATTGCGGGAAAATTGTAAAAGACAAGCAGAAGATGGAATTTCAACACGACCTATTAAAATTATTAGAAAAGAACTAATGAATAATGTAATTTGCGATTTCGAAATGAAAAGCATTATTTCAATTCGGAATGCTATGTACGATAAAAGAAGACAATCGTATCCACTATTTCCGAGTTCTTTAAATTATGCCATACGTCAGTTACTGTTTATGAAAAACAATAATTGTTGTATTCTGTTACAAGAACATTTTATTCGTATTTTAACTGAAAAAAATATAGTTTGCCTTAGAAATAAAGAAAATTTGAAGTTGATAATGAGTTATAGAGAATCCAGTTATAATCTTATAAATTATTTACCTTTTATCTTATCTAGATAATAAACGAAATTAGTTATCTGATGAATTAATCGTAATTCATCAAGATAAATAAAAAAATTGAATATTCATTCAAAAAATTTTATTTTATTTTTTAAGTAGCTATAAATGTATATAAAAAAAAAGGTAAATTAATTAATAAAATAAAATAAATGTTATCTTTTTTTTCATCCAAGTAAATAGTGTTTATTTTTCTTCTTTATCTAGATAAATGTTTAGTTATCTTTGCGCAACACTGTTCTTACAACATTATGTTTGTACGATTCGTAATTAAGAATGACTTGTAAACTATTATGTTTTAAAAATCATTTAGTCTATAATACACACATATTTTATGAGTTGGTTGTTTAATTATTTTGGTATAGTATTGATCCGATGGGAATTCTTCTCGATATACTTGAATACGAATATGTACTACGACGTCGTAGTCTATAATCTAGAGCAAAGCTACGGACGATAACATATATCAATAGCAATATTATTTCCCATTTAGTCTAGGAACTATAGTTCTCTAGACCACCACCAATCTATATCATCGATATGTGTCACAGAAATTAAAACCAGCAATAGACATTGAATTGTACTGTTACTTCTATTACTCCATTGTACTTGCACGTAATTTACCGTTCGTTTATTTCTACGCACAACAAACTATAGGTACATGATATTAGCTACACTTTCAGAGACCGTGACCAATACATACGTGTAGCGGCTTCCGAGTGAAATAATTTATTGGATATCAGGCAGTCTTTTCTCGCAGTGTAACCATCGTGCTCAATTAATAGCGATTTAAACAGACCGTTTGTTTGAAATATTTATATGAATAGAAGTACCTACTTTACGATTCAAATATAATATAAAATGCCATTCAATTGTCACGAACGTCAGTATCGATATTTTTTTATACTACAGACGTGTGTATGTACCTATACAGATCCAGCGGTTACATTTCATGACGGTCGTTGATCGCTTTTCAGCGCGTTTAACGAATCAATGTTAAGGTACCAATAATATAATATCACTGTGATTCAGTGATCTCAATGATTATTGTACGCTTGAAGTGGTCTATTACAAAACTACCTGTTTAGCCTGTCAGGGTACGTAGGATATATAGGTTATAGGTTCCTACACGCAGAGCTGGATTGATTAGTCGAAAAAAACAATTTTCTACCAAACCATAATTTGCAATTAAAAATTAATAATTTGCATAATATTATCAGTATGCGCTATTCCTGTGGCTACTTTCGGTTGTTAGTTATTAAAATATACGTATTATATAGGGAATTATAAAAATCGTAATGCACTAACACGGGATTACCGACTTTTTCTCCTACAAGCTGAACATTTAAGCGACTCTTCAAAATTGTCTCCAATGCTCGACTGGCTTATTTGGGCCAGTCTCGCACATAGAAGTTTCCTGTGGAGCTTTTCTTTTTTTCAATCTAATTTTACTGCAGTGTTATAATTATCTACTAGTAGTAGTATATAGGCGTAGCCAAGTAAGTATTGTATATTTTCGAGTGGCAAAATAATATATTTACACGTCTTATAAGGATTATATCTATACACAAGATTTGCCCGATGTTGTATTAATAACAATTATAACCTCACCGATTCCTTTAGTACGACCTAAAAGCTTTCTCAAGCCAAACGTAAATGATTAATTTATTCAAATCCTATCTGTACAATATATTTCACACAATACGCGCCTTTAAAACTATGCGAAGTAAAAGTACTATTTGTTATTTTATTGCCATTTATATTTTTATGTTTTTAGTTATAACTAGAAACGCGGTTGTTGGATTTCATAGAAAATATAAATATATATTCCCATACACATACTGTCCAACTGAGATAATTTGGCTAACAACAAAATCATTACGTTCAATGAAGTAGGCGATTTAATAAAAATGTTTTTTTTCTAGAATAATAAGAGATTCATTTCCAGAGTCCCCTCCCCCACTTGATAAGTTACTAAATCCGACTACGCTAGTTGTTTATGCTCTATATGTGCCGTTTGTGCCCGGTTGTCCAACGTTTATACCTCTTCTTCAACCTGAGTTATACTAAGGGAGCTCAAGAAAACGGTCCCCCTTCTAAAAAAATGTCAAAAACCGACCATTCTAATTGATTTTTCTACCAAACGTCTTTGTTAATTAAAAATCAAATATTATTATTACAATTATATTGTATCTTTATTATTTATATTATACAGTGTGCTTATTGTTAAAGTATTGTTATTTATTATATTATTTATGAGTTTATTGTTATTTATTATTATTATATTATTTATTATGTTAAATAATTTAAGTCTCCCAAGAATATTTACTACGAGCTGCTACTGACTATTATACCATAATTTATTGCATACATAAATCGGAGTTATAATATATATATATATATATAAGGGTGGCTCTAAGTCATAGGTGAAGAAAAAAAAATAATATTTTTGACTTCTAACTCCCTGATTTTGTTCATTATTATAAGAAAAAAAATTTGAATTAAATTTGGTCATGATTAATAACCTCCATCACGTAGGTACCACAAGAGAGTTGAATATTGCCAAACAGGGAAATCTTACTTTTTTTTTTTTTTTTTTATTAAATTCAAAATATATTGCATAAAGCATATAATTATAAGAGCCTAAATTGTAGATTCAAATACTATCTATAAAAAGTGTTATGATCACATTTCTGGTCAATCTATTATTTTCTATGAAAAATAATATAAAATACAAATTATCTGAAAAAAAGATAACTTCAAGGTTTTAATTGACGATTTATATGTTTGATTTTGTTTTGGCTATTTTTACACCATTTCGAAATATATGTATTTTTATAGTTAAATTATATATTTAAGCGTGATTACGTCGCATCTACATCATTATTCTGTTGTTATGGTAAATATAAATTTATTGTTTTATTTTAATGTTTCATAATATCTGAATACAAGTACAATTACTATTGTATATACCTACGTATAATAAATTACGTCTGTTAATATACACTTATTATTTTATGCTAATTTTTTATTATTTCATGTACATACAATTGCTATTATATACATTTATTACATTATATACATTGCTATTATATACTACCTACGTACAGTGGCGCAAACAAGGAGGGTGTTTTGGGTGTCTGGACATCCATCATAATTTTTTTTTTTTCCGGCTTTACGATCCATTGAGGATCTTTACCGCCAAAACTATCTCCTCCCATTTCTCTCTATCTTGCGCTATGATTTGCCAATTCGTCCTAACTTCTTGGCCTACCGCATTCCATATTTCATTTACGCTGTCTATCCATCTTCTTCGGGGTCTTCCCCTTGGTCTTTTCCCTGTTGGCGTCCAAGTCATTATTTCTTTTATCAGGCATCCTTTCGCACGCCACGCATGTCCAGCCCATTGCATTCTTATACTTTTAACGTATTGTACAATATTTTCTCTTTTGAATAGGTTCTCGAGTTGTGCATTCGATCTTAATTCCCATTGTTGGGTTTCGGTATTAAATACTGAACCATGTATTCTTCTTAAGATTTTCCTTTCAAATCTACTTAGTTTTTCTTCATCACCTTTAGTTGTGGCCCATGTGGCACATGCATACGTCAATACCGGTCTTATGTAACTTATATAAAGTTTTTCTTTGTCATTTTTTGATATCAATTTTGATTTAAATATCGTCTCCATTGCAAAATAACATCGATTTGCTGCATTCAGCCTCACATTAATTTCTTCGTGCGTAATATTATTGTTGTTTAGAGTTACACCAAGGTACTTAAATTCTTTAACTTGTTCGAATTCCTTATTTTCTACTTTAAGGTTGGAGCTATCCTCTGATCTTCTTGTTATTGCCATGTATTTTGTCTTCTCTTCATTTACTAAAAGACCCATATTTTTACTTGCCTTCATTAATTTCTTCAGATTCATTTGGACTTCTATTCTAGTATTTCAAGTGATTATTATGTCATCTGCGTATGCGAATAGTAGTCCTCTGTGAGGTGACCAGGCATCTCCGTTTGATATTTCACGTTCCATGCTTTCCAATGCCATGTTAAATAATATGGGTGACATGGCTTCCCCTTGTCTTAGTCCACTTTTGATTTCAAAAGCCATAGACACCTCATTCCCAAGTTTAACTTTACTATACGTTTCACTGTTGCATAATTATACCATTTTGATAATTTTCAAAGGGATCCCAAATGTCTTGAGCACCTCCCATAGTTTTTCCCTGTTCACGCTATCATAGGCCTGTTTATAGTCCACAAACACCATATGTAGGTCTTTTGCGTATTCATAATGCTTTTCCATTAATTGTCTCATTACAAATATATGGTCTGTGGTTGATCTTCCTTTTCTGAATCCACTTTGGTATTCACCTACAGTTTCTTCGGCGTATCTCTCTAATCGTTTTAATATTATTTATGATAGAACCTTGTATCCTGTATTTAATAGGGTTATCCCCCTGTAGTTTTTTACTTTTCTTCGATCTCCTTTTTTGAATATTGGGCAAATAAGTGTTTCTTTCCAGCTTTCCGGGAGCCTTTCTTCTTCCCATATTTGTAGAATTACCGAATGTAGTTCCCTTTCTACTTCTTGGCCTCCTATCTTCCAAAATTCAGAGTTAATCCTGTCTTCCCCTAATGCCTTTTTATTTTTCAGAGTGTGAATTGCCACTTTTGTTTCGTCCAGGCTAGGGGCAAGTACTTCCTGGTCTATTGTGTAATAAGCTCTAGTTTCTTTGTCGTTATTGTCATTATCTGGTATTTTATTAAGTAATTCTTTGAAATAATCTTTGAATTTGTTAACTATGATTTCTGGACCATATATCAGGGCACCATTTTCATCTATTAGGGATAGTATAGGCGGGATGAAGCCAGCTTTAATTGTCTTGCACCTTTTAAAGAATTCTCTTGGATTGTATTTATACCTTTCGATTTCTTCAATCTTTGCTTTTTCTAACATTCTTTTCTCTTTTCTGATTAACCTTGACACTTCTTTCCTTTTGATCTCAATTTCAATGATGTTATCAGGTGTGGGTACCTGGATTGCTTTAATTCTAGCATTGTTACGGTCCTGGATTCCTTGTTTACAACGTTCGTTGAACCATTTATTCTTTTTTGAGCTTTGTGTGAATTGTATTATGCTCTCTGCGGTTTCTGTTATTGAGTCTTTAACTATATTCCATTTGTCCTCCAATTCTTCAATACTAAATATAAAAAAACTTTTTTTTGATTTTAATTTTTCTTCTACTGTTTCCTGGTATTTTTTCCGTATTTATTCTTCTTTAAGATTCTCGATGTCAAATTTTCTAGTTGTTTTTGATTTTCTTTCATTATTCCACTTTGCTGCCATTTTACTCTTGAAGACTCCAATTACAAGATAATGGTCCGAATCTACATCTGCTCCTCTATAGCTTTTAACATTTGTAACATTTGATTTATATCTATTATTTATTAGTACATGGTCTATTGGGCTGGTGGATCTGCCACCTGGTGATATCCACGTATGTTTATACATATTCTTTCTGGGAAACTGCGTGCTACTGATATTCATTCCTCTGCTTATAGCGAAATTCATCAGCTTTATCCCGTTATCGTTACTTCTTTCGTGAAGGCTATGTTTCCCTACAACAGCTTTATATATTTCTTCCTGTCCTATTTGGGCGTTTAGGTCTCCCATTATTAACTTAACACAATGGTTTGGTAGAGAGTCATAAGTGTTTTCTAATGAATCATAAAAGATATTTTTCATTTCTTCGTCATCCATCATAAATTAACAGAAATTATTTCAAAATGATTTCATTACATTCGAAAAAATTTTTTTGAATGTATAATGTTCAACTACTGTCATATATTATTCATAAGATTTATTAGAACACATTGTAATACTATTATTATAATAGTAACTGCTATAATAGCAGTTGAATGTAAATCATTGTGTTATAACTTATAAATGTACATGAGGACTTTGTTTACTAGGCCTAAATGCAGATTTAGTTAGAAATAGTTTTCATTGAAAGGAAATGCGATCCAGTGGTCTTCTTTTCCACATTTAGGAAAGTATTCTTCAAAAGCTTCTATGAGCCCATTCAAATGTTGAATAACTTATTTTTTTATGTCTTGTGATAGGATCATATCAGTTTCACCGAGAAATCGTAGTGTTTCAAAAATTTCTGTTTGATTATTCTCAATACATGACTCCCAAAGCTCTAACTTTTTAACAAAAGATTCTACTTTATCAATATTATAACGATAATATTTTATCGCATTAATTACATTAAATCGCAGACTTTATATTGTAATAAGTACATGAATACAGGCTTTATTGTAAAGATTTTTTTCAACTGCACAAATAAAATATATGTTACAAGGAGGCTTCGCCTCACACTCTTTACGCTCATTTTATTGATTCTGATGAAGCAAATAATAAATCCAAAGACGTGGAAGTAGCCAACATCGGTTTCACTAACCTAATATTCAAAAATTTCGTCATGTTTATAATTTATTAATTTTTTTTTGATATTTAATAAACAGTCAAATCGTCTTTTATAATATTAAAGTGCACATGTTCGTTAGTTCCACAGCACATTTTATTGTTCCTAATGCACAATTAGTGTCCTACTGCACTTTAAAATAAAGCCTGCATGAATATTTCATTAATAGTTACATTTCACTTTCCGCCATTACTAACAATTTTTTTCGTGTACCCCAGATTGAGAACCGTTGGTATAAGGCAGGGGTGGCCAACCCAAATGATTTTGCGGGCCACATATAAAATTATATTTGTATTTTGCTCCAGTACAAAAAAATTTGGAGTAAACATTTTAAACAGGATTAATTATTATTATAAAATAAGTTTTGGTGTATAAATTATTTGAAATAAACAGAATGAATTATTATTGTTCTTATACCCGTATTTGAGGGGAGCGAAGGGGACATTCGCCCTCCATGGCTCGTATTTTTTTTAAATATAATACATTGGTTTATTAAAAATGTTATGTTTAACTAATTAGGAATATAAATTACTAGTCCATTATTATAATATGTTACCATTATAACAGAAACATGAGCTGTAGGTAATGAACTGTAAATTGTTTTAAAGTTTGTACCTATTGAAGAAAAATTAATTTCTTCCCCTCCCCCCCTCGAAAATAATTAAAATACGCCCTTGCCGTATTCTGAATTAATTCTTTCAAGAACTCTTTACATTGTCGATGCGGAAACGCATGTGATCAAATGTAATCCATTGTTTATATAACTAACAGAATAACATGGTTCGTCGACATATACTTGGGAACAAAGATTTTGTTGATGAATCAAACAGTTTGTTACGATTATGTTGTTAATAATACGGCTTCCGCGTTGTGCGGGCATTCCAGAATATTTTATTGGGACAAAAATAATTTTTTTTATGTAAATGTTTGATAATCTCGCGTGCCGCAAACATTCCAAAGTGGAATACATGCGGCCCGTGAGCCTTGAGTTGGCCATCCCTGGTATAAGGCATAATAAGTTATGAAGAGTTCAAATGTGTATTCCAAAGACCTTCTCGCAAAATGTTATCAATTCGATAGGCGTTCTTGTCAAGGTGGATATACATATATCCACCTTGGTTCTTGTCTTCGTGGTGTGCAATAAAATATGGTTAACATTCTTATCACATATTATCATCATTATCACAATGCTATCATATTTCCATCGGACTGACGTCTCTATGTTATTTATGTGCACGTTTGTTATTTAATTTGAATATTGTAATATTAAAATGTTTTCGAAAAATCGAATTATTGCGTAAGAAAATTTGTTTTTGTATGCTATTTTCAATGATCAACCCGCTTATATCTTAAAAGCATTGCTCACACTCGTATTAAAAATATTTTGGATAATTTCTGCTGTTGTAAAAATGTCCAATGAAGAGAAAACTAGTTTGTCACAAGAAGAAGTATTACATCAATTTGTTAATCGTATATTCAATAATGATCAATTTCGAGAAAAAATTATGATGCCAACTGTAATGGGACGACCGGTGATGAAAACAATGGAAGAAAAAACATTAGATACAATTACTGAAAGTTGTGCCTTTAAATCCATTCTAAGTGGAGTGATGGGTAACTTTCTAGAAATAAACAATTTTACGTTATTAAGTATTAGCTGCAATTTAAAATGATTAACACCGTATTAGTTCTTGCATGTATTAAGATTCATATGATTAACAAATCAAAATGTTACAGGATTTGCTCTCGGTGGAGCTATTGGTCTTTTTACTTCAAGTGTAAATCCTCAAATAAAACCACCGGGTCAGACAGAAACAGTTAGGGAAATATTACGTGAAATGAAAACCTCATCACTTGGTTATGCAAAAAACTTTGGGTTACTTGGCGCTGTATTCTCAGGCATTGAATGTACTGTTGAAACTGTATGGATTTAATAATAAAATAAATGTATAATTATTTTTAAAAATCTTTTGTTATATTCAATTTGCAGTATAGAGGTCAATCAGATTGGAAAAATGGTACTTATGCAGGTGGAATAACTGGAGGTTTACTAGGATTTAGAGGTAAAAAATATAATTTTAAACTATTGCATAAAAAGTATACAAAATAATAAATAATAAACATTTTTTTTTTTAGCTGGAGCCAAAGCAGGTATACTTGGTGCTTTAGGTTTTGCTACGTTTTCCACTGCAATTGATTACTATATGCGTAACTCATAAATATTGTTAAACATATTATATATTTGATTTATTATTAATTCTGTTTTTGTAAATAGAATGTAAGTAGCTTTTTTTAATAAAAATAGTAAAATTATTAAAACTAATTCTATAATGTACTTAAATAATTAAAACACAGGGCACATATCTTAAAAAATATTGTCTGGAGAAAAGGTGCTAAGAGTGCTGTCACATATTCTGTTAGACTATCCATGGATTATTTGTTGTTACTTGACAGATTTAGTGATCTTGTCCTGAGCACCAAATAAATCTAAATTTACATATTGTACAGTAGTATGCAAATTCTATTTTAATGTCAGCACAAATTACATAAAATCAGAGATATCAGTAAATTATTTTCATAAGTTTAAATTTTTAAGTCAGAAATTATTAAATAATAAAAGTTACACAATATTTTGTTTTATACAAGTTATACATTTGTAAATATATCAATAACTTAGGAAAACTATACATATAAAATTCAGTATACTACAAGTTAATATAAAAATATAAAGTATGCGTCCAAGTAAATTTAAAAAAATTTTAAATTTAAGTTTATTAGATGATAAAACTTATATTGATGTGTATTATGTAGAACTAAATCATAATTATGAACTGTATACAATTATCATTTGTAATTTACTATAAAGTTGTGCTGTGGTATTCCCTAAAAATAATAAAATTAACAGTATATTAATACTTAATTGTTTTGAGTTTAGAAAGAAATAATTTTAACAAATAAACACTAATATGTGTAACAATTATAAAAAATTTAACACACCTTATCTTAGTTTGAACTAGAGCAAGAGGTATTTAAAATTTAATAATATATTTTAGAAGTATTAAAGTGACTTATGTCTAATTTATACTATGTTAGTAACATTGCTGTTCCAACAACAAGACAAACTGGGTACTTGCGTATATACAATAATATATCTTGGAAATAAAAATGTTTATAAAAAATTTAGTAACAATTTAGGATCTAAATATGTTTTAGTCATAATTTTTAATAATTATTATAATTGTTTTAGTCTAATGAATGTTTGCATTGTATAAAAATGTTTTTTTTTAACAACAAACTGGCTGTTATAATAACAGAATAAACAATATTATTTTAAATAGATACTAATATTATATAATTATTATTAATATTTGAATATTGACTGAGTTCCTAATAAAATTATAATGTTGCCCAGAGCCTTGCAAAACCTTGGAACAACAATGATAAGTAGTTTAGTTGAGTAGCAAATGATTTACTAACTGATAAACAATTTAATAACTGAAACATGTTTAGTTAATGGTATAAGTACATTAGTAGTTGTTTTGGTGCAGTGAATGAGTTTTGTAAATAGTGGCACAACCAAGAAGAAGGGATTTGTGACCCCCAAAATATGTAGTTAATTTAATCTTACCCTCTTCTCCCAACCAAACATCTTCCAAAATTCAGTTTTTTTCAAATGTATAACCCCCTTCCAAAAAAATAAATAAACCCAGGTTGTAAAGTACACATTATATGTCATACAAAAATTATTATTAGTCTATAAAAAAAAAAAAATTAAATAACATAATAGGATTTATTACAACAGTTATTGTAGAAGTAAAAGAACTTGAAGAATCAAAGGAATTTTGGGATAGAAAATGAATTGAAAGAAGGGATACATTGGGACCTATAAATGTTTATATATATTCATTATTATTTATTTATGTATTCAGATACAAATTTAAACAATGTGTCTTCACTCCAACAAAACGACATCTAAACATTAACAAGAACAACTAATAAATTAATCTAAAATAATGCTATTATTATAGTTCACCTATTTATTTATTAGTGAGAAAAGTGCTATTCGGTCAGAAATATAGAAATAAATGGATCTATTAAATTACTAAATAACTAAATTATTCTGTTTATACACATTTATTTGCTAAATTACTTGCTACTTTACTAAACTATTAACATAGTGTGAACTGAACTTTATAGATTTTTTCATATCAAACAAAAAATAATGAAAGTACTTGTTATTAACATCTATATTCAAATTATTACTATAAATAAGAAAGGGACAACATTTACTAGAAGTTATTAATTTAACAAAATATATGTATTCATTCTGAATACTATAAATACTACCAGTTTTAATTTTAAATAAATATTTTATTATATTTTTACCTTTTAGCTTGTTCTAACTTTGCTTTTTCAAATTTTACATCATTTAATTGTCGTTTTAACGAGCTTATTTCTTTCTCAAAACTAGTTATTGTAGAACGACACATGATCAATTCATTTTTTGTTCTGTCCCTATAATATTTATAATTCATTATAGATAGATTTTGATATATTATTAAAAAACTAATTTATTTATCCTTACAGTAATTCTACAAGATTTTTTATTTCTTTTTTACTATCTTCTAATTGTTCTTTTAAATCATTTTTGTTAATATTTAATTCCATACATTCTTGTCTAGAATCTTTCAATACAGATTCTAAAGTAGATATTTTTGAACGTTCTCTTTCTAATTGTAAATTCACCATTGATAGTTCATTTGCTAATCGTAAACGTTCATCTTCAGCCTTCTGCTGTAAATTTTCAACATGACCTAACCGTTCATTCAAACTAAATTTAGCTGAATCAACCTTTGAGCATATATTTCTGCAAGCATCTAAGTCTTGTTCCAGTTTTGTAATATGATTGTTTCTGGAAGTTAACTGAGATTCCAATGAAACTATTTGATGGGTCAAATTGGATATCTAAAAAAAAACAAATCTACTTCTATAAACTACTAAAAATTAATTACGACTAATTTAGTATTACTTGAGCCTCATAACTTGATATAAGACCTTCTTTATCTATAAGTTTACGTTCTAAATCAGACAATCTATGTTCTTTTTCTCTAAGAAGCGTCCTGGAAGATTTAGCTTCACTTTCAAGACTGTGGTTATTGCTTTCTAACTGAGTGGCTTCACTGTTAAGGGCTTTAAACTGTTCTAATATTTCTTCCCTTTCAGATTCTTTTGTCTCAAGCATCTCTTCAACACGTCTAATTTCTAAAACATATACTTGCAACTGCATTTTTAAATCTTCGGCTTGTTTTTTTGATGCTTCCAATTCAGAGTGAAGAACTTTATTTTCTTGAACCACCATATCTAAATCATTTTGAAGCCGCCTTCATAGAAAAAACACAATTTATTATTAATAAATACAAAAAAAGTACAATATTGTATAAAATAATGCATAAATACAATAAGTGCAATATATAATAAAATATACTAATTATGACTACAACTATATTTTAAGATATAAAATTTAATTCAAGATTTTTAATTCTTATAAATATTATAACCAGGGTTCATAAGTTCATGCCTTAAAAAATGTCTAAATAAGCATGCATTTATGCACTTCAAATTGGCAAAATATGCTTTGAAATATGTCTTAAAAAGTTCAAAAATATGTTTTTATATGCACTAAATATGTAAAATTATACAGTTAAAAAATTCTTACTTAAAAAAATAATAAATCATTTTTGAAATAACATGAATTATCTAATGATTTTTTTTATAGCTATATTTTATTTTTTTATGTCGCAATTAAAAAAAATAATAGATATTAAATACTATTTAATACTATTCTTGAGCCTTCATGAACTGCGTACTCATGTACGTCTTTGTAATTAATTCATTTTAAATCTGAAACTTTTGAAAAAAATTTATTTATTAAATGCACGAGTATCAAAAAGATAAGAAAATAAAAGATAATACAATTTCTATTTTTATTTTTATACATATTTTCTGTTTAGATTTTTAATAGATTTTAATAGAATGTTGTATAATATACCTGATAAAATAGAAATATGCATAAATAAACCAAATATACAAAAACATGCCAAATAAGCAAAAATATGCAAAATTAGATTTCACATATTTAAACGTGGTACCTTGAAATAGATTTCTATGTTATCTAGTATTAAATACAACTTTGCAAGATTGATATGCAAATGCGTGAACTTATGAGCTCTGGTTATAACTAGAGCTGGGATTTCGATGCACTTTGCATTGTTTTTCAAAGCTTACTGTGCAATGCTCGTCTTGTCACAAATTGGTTTTATGTACATTTGAATGAGAATAAGAAAGTTTATTTTGCATTTTTTTGCATTTTTTGGCATTATTTAGTTTTTAGGTCATTTTCTTAATTTTTTAGGACATTTTAGAGTTTTTGGAAACCAAGTGCATGAATTTGAAATTTTATTTTAAGATTTTTACACCAACATGGTTTCTAAATAAATATAACAGATTATAAGTAGGTACTCGTAATTCGTATTATATTATCGGTTTGTCACCATTATCGAACAATAACCTCTACCCGTATTTTCTGTTAAATAATCTTAAATCGGTAAAATCGACGCCTGATGATATCGTTCGACGTTCAGTACGAGTTTTGTCGTGGTTAACACCGTTTTATTACTCAGGTTAATTTTTTTTTGGTAATTTAATATAAAAATGCCAAAAGTAAAATGTTCAACAGTGAGTCGACTACGTGCGTTTGTACAAGAATTTGGACATAATATTTTTTCTACCGACGGATTGGTGTTATTCTGTAAAATATGCAACGTAAAAGTTACTGCTGAAAAACGATTTGCCGTACAACAACATTTGTCAAGAGATAAACACATCAATGGAGTAGAACGGAGTAAATCACAAAACGAAAAAAATAATACACAAAGTTTTATTACAGACGTACCAAACAGGTCGGAATATTTTTTAGATTTAACTCGTACATTTTTGTCATGTAATATTCCGTTAAATAAACTCGAAAATCCTGCGTTTTCTAAATTTTTGGAAAAATATACCAATAAACAAACGCCTGATCGCTCCACATTACGAAAAAATTACGTCAGTATATGTTACGATGAAACGACGGACGCCAATGGTCGTTATATTGCCAATATTATGATAGGTATATTAGAAGTAGGTAACATAGGTAAAATGTTTTTATTAAATTCAGAAGTATTAGAAAAAACTAATCACAGTGCAATTGCCAAAGTTTTGGATAAGTCTTTATCAATATTATGGTCACAAGGAATAATACACGATAATGTCCTTTTATTTTTAAGTGACGCTGCTCCGTACATGGTAAAAGCAGCCACATCGATTCAAACTTATTATTCGAAAATGATACATGTTACATGCTTGGCGCACGCCTTGCATAGAGTTGCCGAAGAAATAAGAATACATTTTCCAAATGTTGACGAATTGATAAATAACTACAAGAACTTACTGGCAGACAACAGAATATCATTTTTATTTGAAAATCTGAAACAAGCTCTCGTGGTTCAGTGTAAAAGTTCAGAATGTACAGGTAAATAAATATACGATCTAAACGTATTAAATAATTTATAAAAATATTTTTTGTTCAGATTGAACGAAGTCCACGTCTATGAGATTAAGTCTATGTGTACAACTTTTTTTTTAGATTTATACTAAAACTATGTATTTACAGTTTACACTTGTAATAGATTTTTATAATACATTTTTTAAAACTTTTTATTGTAATTTATACTAAAATTATTAAAAATAAAAAAAATTTTAGTTCATAAAAGCAATTTTTTAAGGGCATTTTTCGGGTTTTTTTAGGGCATTATTTAGAGTTTTTAGGTCATAAAAGCATTTTTTTTAGGACATTTTTCGGGGTTTTTTAGGGCATTAAAATCCCAGCTCTAGTTATAACTAATAAAAACACAAATTTTAGAGCAGTTGTAATTTTAACCTTTGTAAAACTATAATAACTATATCCTCCAAAAATTTTAACGTAATTTCCAAACTTTTTTCAATTTTCCCACTGTTGTAAAAAAATTTATATTTGAGTCTAATTTAAGATTAAGATTTATAATATCACTAAACAACAATTTAATGGAAATTTACAATTCTAATAGTGTTTAATAGTAAAAATCAAATTTATTCAATATATCTCTTTTTATTTAGTATAGGTACTATAATATAATTATTAAAATGGAAACATATGGAAAAAGATAAAAAAAAAGGTAGATAAAGTAAAAAATAATTTGACAGATATTTAAAAAATGGGATAGAGATAGGTGGAAGGAAGTTTATGTTGCAATAATAGGCCTCACTTGTCTTTAAAAATCAATTACGATAATGATGATGTTATTTTACTTACTTCTTTTCTTTGAGTTGACTACTCTTACTACTTTCGATTAATTTATACTCTGATTTAATATTGGAAAGTTCTAGTTTTAGATGATCACATAACTTTTCAGATTCCGACTGAGAACTTAAAGCATTTCTGTGAATATCAATTAATTAGTGTCATAAATGTAGAATTGAAAAAAAATCTTCATTTTCTTACGTAATTTTTTTGGTAGCATCTCCAAGTTTTGCATGCAATAATTGAATTTGATTTTCTTTATCCATAATTAATGAATCTAGATGAGAAATCCGCTTGTTTTTTTTTTCCAATTCATTCTTAAATTTCAATTAATTAAACAATATTAACTGTAAATAATCTTTTAGATGATATATAAAGTATGAATAATTCAACTTCTAATAATATAAGACCTATTACAATTGTTATTAATATAAATATTGTTAAATAATTAATTTTGTACAAACTGTTAATGTATCTCGATGATGATCAATGGTAATTGTGTTATTTTGAAATTTATGTCTTTCTTGTTGTTCTTCGATCAGTTGATCATTAAGTTTATTATTTAAAAGTTTTAGTTCCTCTATCCGAACATGTGCTCGTTCTAATTCTTCTTCATTAGCATTTTGAGCAAACTGTGTAGACTGTAGTGCTCGTTCAAGTCGATCTTGACAACGCCTGATAATTATCAAATAGTTGAATGTAATAATTTATTCACCAATTAAAAAAAATCTTACTTTTGATCATCCATCATAGCTATATGTCTTTTTAATTCTGCTTTTAACTGAGAAACTTCCCTGAAATATTTATCTGCTTCTCTTTGCTTATTGTTATTATCCCAGGTAAGTGAACGTTGCTTTTCAATCAATTGATGTTTTTCATCTTCTAATTGTTTGATATATTCTCTTTCATTGTATTCATTACTCTCTACCGACTCTCTAGTTTTCTACACAAAACTTAATTAGCTGCCACAACAATATGTTAAACCATATAACCAAATATATATAATGTTACTTACTTTAAGTTGACAATTTAAGAAATCAACTTCTTTCTTCAAACTAATTATTTCTTCAGCAAATTCATCTTTTTCTCTTCTGAGCTTTAAAATGTTTTGTCTATCTGATCTTTCAATATCATCTCTTTTTATTTCTTCAATTTTTCTTTTTAAATCTATCACCTTAAAAACAATTCAAAAAATCTGAATGAAATAAAAGGAAAAATGTATTTCTAATTATTTTATAATTACTTCTGTATTATGTTGTTTTTTTAAACAGTTTATTTCATAAAGGTATTCGTCTCGCTCAGCTCTTAGTTTACTCACAGCAACTTCCAAATCATTTGACCTTTTTCCATGTATTAATGGGTCTAATTGAGATTTAATTAATTTTTCTAATTTCCTTTCATACTCTTTTCGTTCTGCATCAAAAGCTTTTCTAAGCTCTTCTGATGATACCATATTAGAACTGGTGCAATATCTATTTTCTTGCCATTTATTTGTTTTATCATTATTTTCTAATTGCATAACAACGATAAAAATAATTTAAAAATTTTAATATATAAATTATACTTATATATTTATTTGAATAATTTACTTGATTTTTCTATAATTTCTTCAAGTTGTAATATTTTTTGTGATTGTAAATGTTTTTCCTCAGATAATTTTTCTATTTCTAATATCAAATCACTTTCTAAAATATTAACAATGAGGAATAAATAAGTTAAAAATTCTTTTTACAAAATATATTTAGATTTAAACTGAAGCTCACCGATATTTTTAGAGTGGTTCTTATTTTCTAAAAGTAGTTTTTGATCATTAAGAGCTTTTTTCAATTTATTTTCATATTCACTTATTTTAAATTCAAGAGCTTGATTTTTTGATTTAAGTTCAACCAACTGTGTATTGTTTTCAAGTATAACACTTGTATCCTTAAAATCAAAATAATATTAAATACCTAAATAATCCAACCTAAAAATGATTAAATACCTTATCACAGTTACAATGATTTTTAATATATTCATTTAGAGAACGCTGAAGAGATTTTTTTTCTTCAGTTACTCTAGTAAGGTGAAAAATTGCTTCATTATGATTAGCCAATGCCTCTATATGTAACACAATACAATTACTTTTACATAAACTTGAAAAAAGTATTGGGTAATAAATGTATTATAAACATATTTGAATACCATCCAACTGCCTTCTAAGTATTTCATTATCAGCCTTGTTGTTTATAAAAGAATCCTTGTTATTTTTATTCACCTGGCACAGTGGATTCTTATTGCACTAAAAAATTCATAATATAGAATACATGAGTTACACAAGCAAATACACACGCTTTAATTTTCTTTACTTATATAATTATTATTACCTGACTTTTTGTATGTTTGATAATTTTATTTAATCTTACTATTTCTCGATTATATTCATCTACTTTTTGCTTTAAAAATTCATTTTCTTTACTTGAAGTTTCAGTATTTATTTCTTCATTATTACAAGTATTTAAATTATCAATTTGTATTGTAGGCCTAAAAGATTTAAAATTTTTATCTGAAACAAAAAAATAATATTGTGATCTCAATTTCTATTAAAAATATTAAATAAGTAAGAAGAAGATGTACTTTTAACTTCAATTTGAGGGATAAGAAATAGATTTCCTAATTCTAATAGTTTAGCATTTTTCAAAACAGCTTCATCTTCTAAATCTTTTACTTTTTGTGTAAGTTTTTCATTTTCTTGTGTCCATTCATTTTTTTCACATTCAAGAATAGAAACTTTATTCAAAATGTCTACAAATAAAAATATATTTATTAACATATTTTATAATTATAAATTATAAGTATAAGTTTTAATACATCAGACTAAAATTACATAAAATTGTTTAAATAATACTAAAACGATTTATAGTTAATATTAGTGCCCAAGTACAAAGTCCAACTACTTGGAATCCTTAAATAATTGAATACAAATTACAATTTATATTTATTAATTACTAAAAAATGTACTGGTAAATAATTCTTAAGTTTGTGTTTAATGTTTTTACTGTGGAAGTAAGAATTATAACAGGACTTACTATTTTCACTTTCTTGTAGTTTTTTTAGTTTAGTTTTCAACTCATTACATTCTTGTATAAGTGAGCAATTATCTCGTACATATGGAGTAGACTTTGCTTCTAAGTTTCTAGCAACCTGGAGAGTGTTTTGAGCGATATTTTTGTACTGCTTCAAGCTATCAGTTGTCTGCAATAAGTCTGCTACTAGTTGACTGACAAGGCCTATTGAATCAGATGGCATATATTGACGATAGCCAAGTGCATCCAATTGATATCTAATTGATTCAAACTGTTCATTATTTTCAGCCTGATTCATAATGGTATTAGTGCAAAATAAGTTCACTGTTCTGTAGATTTACATTTTATATTTACACATAATTTATTTGAAACGTTATAATCTAGAAAAAATATAACTTTAACGCATTATATTTTGTTGTATATAATTATGAAATAAATTTAATGCAACATTTACCTATAACATATTTACAATTTTGAAAAGTTTTGCTTATTTGATAACAGAATTAACAAAATAACGTCCATTTTGATATTGATAAATAAAATCATTGATAAGAAAATTAAAACTAGAAACAAGTGGTTGGTAACATAGGTGGTCACATTGATTGTTTAATCTATCTCTTCACTCTAATATTAAAATAATTCCCTGCGATGCGATTGGTCGGAAAACTTTTTAAATCCCGTGGAGAGTTATCATAAATATATATTTTATTCGGTAACTGAAATATCAAGATCTATACGCATATTCATACCTTTTTTTTTAAATTCTATGCCAGTCTATTAAATATAATAAATTATACACTTATGTAACCTTCAACTATTGTTAAGACACTTAACTCTGTAAGAGTACTATTATTATGTTTGATTATTTTCAATTACACTACGGTTTGCCCTCTGCTATTTCATTTTTTTATGTACATATAAATGTTTTAAATATTTATTATATTGGTTTTTATACGTTTGACACCATGCATCGATTGTTAGTATAGTACCGTAAGTATGGTGCCATAGTATTTTTAAGAAAACAATTAGGTGGGGGTCTCCTAGATAGCGAACGCCATTGACGCACAGACTTCTATACTAACTAGATAAGGTACTGTCGATATTTACCAAGGTTATGAATAGGGTCCGGATTTGTATGCACTTAAAAACCTTAAAATAGTATGCATTTATGCATCAAAAAACCTTTAAATATGCACTAGATATGCTCTTATTTTTTTTAAAAAATATGCTCTTACCCAAAATATATGCATTATAATTTTTTTTTTAATTTTTTCTTTATATATTATTAAATAATAATTAATACAACATAATCAAACAAACTTAATTTTTTTATTACCGGCACTGCGACATCAACTTACAACATTAATTAAAGACAAAAAATGTTTAAAAATTACATTAAATTAATAAAGTGCACTTTAGTTAAAAATAATAATAAAAAAAATGTATTTAATTCTTTTATACCAATGAAGACAATTTATATATATAAAAAAAACAATTTAAACAAATAAAAACATTTTAATTACCTAATAGATATAAATCGATATTTACTTTTTATAAAAAGAGTTAACAATAATATACTCTTCCATATGTTCAGGTGTCATATTTATTCTTCTATCACTTAATATATGTTTATATAGACTGAAGGATCTTTCCACATCTACTGACGTCAACGGTGCATATTTCATATTTGCCACAGAGCAAGGATTGAAATTTTCTGGAATCTGTATTTCATTGTTACCTGATATAACTAGTCCGATTTGTTCTAGTACTTGAAATCCTTTATTTTTTTGATATAACTGAGATATTTTATTTTTTATGATAGAACCTTTGTCACCTTGTATATTTGATAGTTCGGAAATTATATTTTTCGTAATCTCTAACGATTGTAGTAATGTCAATTTAGTATCTTCTAAGTTTGTGATTGCCCGAATAAGTCCAGAAAAGTTAATTTTTATAAATGTTAAATCATTTTTCACTGTAGTCAAATTGAACATTTTTTTACAATTATCTACACTTGCTGAAGAATCATTATCTAGTTTTTCTATTACACTTTTAATACCTTCATAGTTATTTGCATTAAATATAACTGCCTCTATCCATGTCCCCCATCTTGTAATAACTGGTTCCGGGGGCAATGGTAAACCAGGTAGCATTTCTTTATATAGTTGAATACGAGAAGGTGACTTTAAAAAAGATTTTTTTACATTGTTAATTAATTTATTTACATCGGGGAATAACTCTCTTACCTTTTCTGCTACTCTGTTTAATATATGTGCTGCGCATGTTACATGGATGATATTTGGGTAAAACACTTTTAATGCATTTCCAGTTTTAACCATATATGGCGCTGCATCTGATAAAAACAATCTTAGGTTTTCGTCATTTCCCCCAGCGGGCCATAATATTTTTAAACTATCGTTAATAAAACGAGATACGGTAGAGTGATTTGTTTTTGGCAGTTCTTTACATGCTAATAGATACGGTTGACTTGGTGTATCACATTCTAAAACGCCAACTAATTAATTTGCTATATAACAGCCGTTTGTATCAGTTGTTTCGTCTACAGCAATCCAAATATCTGAATTTCCAATAATTTCTCGGATTGCATTTATAACATTATTGTAACATGGATCAAGATAATTTTTTCTAAGTGTACTTTCATCGGGAATATGCTTACCTGTGTACTTTTCCAAAAAATTCTTGAATTCGGGAATTTGAAGTTTATTCCATGGTATATTAGCGACTATCAAAGCTGAACAAAGATCCTCGTTAAAAATGTTACCAGATTTAGGTTTTGCGTCCAATACAAATAATTGTTTTTTGTTATCATTTGCTTTACGATTTAAAGCACTTTTATGCAAAGCAGTATCAACGTGTTGTTGTATTTGAAATTTTTTGGTGCAAACGATTTTTTTGTCACACAATTGACAAAACACTACAGAACCGTCCGTAGTAAAAATTGTGTGGTCTGTTTTATTATACAATGCAATCCAATGTTTTATTAAAATTTGAATATTACTACGACTTTTCGGCATTTTAAAATTTACGAGTGTAAAAAAAATTATTAAAGAAATTTGTTTATATACGGAATGCGGATTACGAAATTATATTTATAGGCGATTACCGACTGGCGACTACAGCACGACGCGTGACGATTAAATACCAACTAAATGTAAAACAACAAGAGCCACGATGCAGCGTGTTTATCCAATATAAGACTTAAAATCACGATAATAATAATAATAATCATGCTAAAAATATAATTGTATGAAGGAAATTTATATGTAACTGGTCTTCATTGTTGTCGATCGATGTGTTTCGATAAGCAAGATATGGTTTTAATACAAATTAAATATTTCCCCACAATACTTCATAAACTCATAAATCTAGTTTCTATAGTGAAATATAAATAAAATAACTATTATGTACCAAAATATGCTTTATTATGCCAAATTCTTCAAATATGCTCTCAACCTTAAAATATGCATTTATATGCAAAATAAACTTTTTTCTATAGATTCTCTGCTACACAAATCGCTCACATTTCTTACTCCTGTTGAACTGCATACACTCATTACAAATATGTAAATGCATAAAAATCCGGACCCTAGTTATGAAGCTTGGCTTATCAGTTTCCGCCATTTTGTCGGTTGGCAAAACATTGAACATTACATTTAGTCCTGTGCAGCATTACATTGAATATTCTTTTACAATTGATTATTTATTATTTAATAGAAAATTGTTTTTCACTCGTACAAATATCTTTTAAGCAATAAATTTTCTCAGGACCATTTAGAGATATTTTTCTCTAAAATTCGTTAGCGTTTTGGTTATAATAATAACCCTAATGTAATATAATTTAAATCATCTATGAAACAGTTGTTTTTTAAAAATTCCATCTCTTCATCTTACGCTGGTAACTGTATTGAAATGCACAACAATAGTGTTGAAAGTATATTTGAAATACGCTGGTCAAAAATAAATTCTGATGATTTATTAAACATTGAATATGAAGAAGAATCAAATCTTTCAGATTTTTTGATAGGTGAGACTGACCAATCCAGAATTATCAAGGATAATATTCTTTATTATATTACTGGTTTTATTGTTAGAAAGTTACTTAAAATAATTGATTGTTCAACATGTGTAGACAATTTTATAGAACAATCAAGTGAACATAACTATAGTCATAAACATGTCTTTTCTGTATTGACTGATGGGAAAAATGGAGGTGGATTATTAAAGAGTTCAAAAAATGTTATGAAATTATTTAAATATATTGGAAATTCTTTAATCAAATTAACTAACAATTTTACTTCTCATATATCTGGTTTATCTGCAAAAATTATGAATATAATTTCAATATCTTACAAAACATGACATGTTCCGATCATTCATTTTTAGAAAATCATAAATTAGATTTAGTAACACTAATCTGTAACGAATATTTGAAAATACGTCTACATCATGTTGCCAAATCAAAAACGTCATCTATTGTTAGAAACGGCGACAATTAACCAAATTAGTATTATTTAGTAATATGTGATTGTATACTGTGTATGTTTTAATAATAAACTAATATGTATATATTTGTGATAAACATTGTTTTCTTTTTTCTTAATTATATTTTGTTTAATCCTTAAATTTTCACATTATTTAAATCTGATTTAATAAAGAAATATCAAGGAAATAATTATTTGCTGCATATAGAATAATAGATTTTGTTGCCAACCGACAAAATGGCGGTTGTTCACCTTATCAGCTTTACTCATAGCCATGTAAATTATATAGTAATTACTTATCTAGTGTAGTGTTGTAAGCGAGTAGTATTTAGTATATATATTATTATTATTATTATAACTATTATTATGAATGTATACATAACATGTACGCGTAGGCATTAGTCCTTTATGTGGGGAGTAATGCAAGTAAGCATTTTTGGATTAACCGGACGCCTCTCGCCGTCCGTATAACCAGTCATATTGTAACCAAGTACATAAACGGTCAATAAACGAACTCATAATAGTAATTTGTTCACGAGTCTTAACCATTTTTTAATCCTTTACTTTATTCGAAGTGCGAACTTACAAACGTTACATAGTGTCGACGGACTCAAACGAGTTTAACGGATCCGGCCTATAACAGTAGTATAGAAGTCTGTGCTTTGACACCGAAGGCGTATCAATTTTCCACCCGTATATTATCAATAGTTAATAATTATCACAAGTAGTAACCGTGGTAGTATTGCATGATACATTGTACCATTAATTATAGAATAGAATAAATTATTCTATAATCAATGATAAAACTAACGACATTAATTAAACGATAAGCAATACTGCACACAATGAAAACTAGACACGTCCGAACACAATGACTGTCGAGACAAGACTGACCCATAAATGTTAATAATATTATTTGTAAATTTGGAAAAATAAAACAAAGAAGATTAAACTTTATTATTTAATTTTAAAAATTAACAATTTCATGATTAATAATGTTCTAATTTTAATTATTTTGTAATTGTGTATTATCTTTTTGCCCTTTTTCTAAACATATACTTCTTAATCATTTTAATTCTTAGTTCCTAAAAATTTAAAAACCAAAACTTATTTTAAAATATTCTTTAAAAAAAAAATAATAACTATAATAAGCCATTATTAAAATGATTAATATTTCTACATAATTTTAAAAGTGTCAATATTTTCAAAAAATGTAAATTCAAAAAATGATCTTTATTCATACATAGTATTTATAATCAATGACTTTACTAACATTTTACTGTATTAAGATCTTTCAAATGTCAACAAATAAATAAATAAAGAAGTTTAACAATAAAATAAAATATGATTGTTAATTGTACATCCATGACACAACAACATTTTATTTAGAACACTGATAATTATAATAAAACAAATAATGAATTAGAATTTTAAATTTGATAATCTACATGTTTTATTGTTTACAGATAATAATAGAAAATATAATTTTTCTATTTAATATAAATTTTTTTATAATTTGGATTTAATACTATGTTATTTTATTCCCAAATCACTTTCAATAAAAACTGAGCAATATAGTTTTTTGCTAAGTTGTTCTAACTATAACTTTTTTATACTTAACATTAAATTTTAAACTCAATATTTTCATAGATAATTGACTTTAATTTATGATAAATGTTATTTATTATATAACAAATGGTAGAAACTAAAATAATATGTATATACATTTCTAAAAATGCAGTGAGTTTTACAAGAACACATACTCAGGTAATTCAATTTAACTAACTTCTAAGATAAATGGATTGGTTTAACATTGTTAAAGCTTGAAATTATAAATTAAAATTAATCATGAATATAAATTAATTCACCAAAAACATTAATTAAAAAGATAAGACAAGTAATATAGTTAGGCTTCCAAAAATATAATACATTTTTGGCAATGTTTTTTGTGGGTGGGTAAAACTTAATATTAAACTCTTAGTCAAAAAAAAAAATTTTTGGTACGACAGTCTTTAACATTAAATAATATTATTTTATGGAATACATTTAAAATTTTTTGTTTGATTACACTGATATTGATTCAAGAAAATCAAATCAAAATTGTATTTTTACTGTTTTCTTTATAAATTCTTTGTCTATCTTTTAATTCATATAATAAATACACAAATAACTTGATATATGATTGAATTTAATTAATCCAATGAAGATTAAAATTCTTTGTATCTAAACAAACAAAAGTAGCAAAAGTAGTAAAAATAATAAATTCACATATATAAAATTAAGTAAATTAATTTAATTAATAAATTGATTTGGCACTTAGAATATGTTATAAAATACTGGAATGTACATAAATACTGTTATGGTTATATAAAAACTTTTTTTAACAAAATAAATAACACAAAATTAATTAAAATTGGAATATAATATTACAATGTAATATTCTGATATTATAGCAAAACACAAATATGTTTTTCTGATTTTTCTTACCGATTATCAATAGATTTATCCACTTTGAAGAAAGAAAATGTACCCATAATTAATGTAATCACTAATAATGTAAGTTGCACATACATCCCAAAATGATTACAGTAAAAGAAACTAACAGCAGCCGCTATTGACTAAAATATATTAAAATGAATATAAAACAGTAATTCAATAATATTTTATAATTAATTATTGAACAAAAAATATATACCTGCATAAATTTGAATAAGGCCATGGCAGGAGCACTGTTTTCAGAATACCTTTGTCCAATTACATTGTAAATTTGGGTATTAAAACAACTATCTCCAAAACCCAATAGGAAACTGCACAAAATTGCTAAATACTGACTAAATAAAATAAAAATTAAATGGTAAGATAACTATTTTGGATGAAATTAATTTTGTATATTATTTATCGTCGTTGACACGAAAAAACCTCCAATGTGCCAAATTTATGATTTTGAGAAATTGGTATCCCTGAATTCAGAAAAAATGGGGGATGATTTTGGTAAAATCTTCAATGTGCTATCTCCATTGTAGAAGTAATGAAAAACGATAAATAAATCCTCTCATGTGTTATTAACTATAAATCGTTTATGAAATTTTTACTTTGATTTTTTTCAGTATATTGGTTTATATTTTTTAAATTTATTTTCATTAATCACACTTTGTGTATTTTTAAAACGTTTTTCGTCCCTCCTGAAAAATTAGGTTTTAGTACATTGGAGATTTTTTCGTGTCAACGACGATATATTACTTTGGTTCAATTAAAGATATTGCACTTGTATCACCAAATGGGGAATCATCTGGAAGGTTTATAAATATCAAACCATACGCAATAATATTTACAAAAAAACCTAATGCAACTACAGCTGAATGACTAAATCCCTTAGATTCTATGTTATTATCAGAAGTCTTTTTTCCCAAAATGCTGAATAGAAATCCACCTATGAAAAATTTGAATATATATTCTAAATGTTGGAAATAATTGCTGCATATTCTAACCTATAATTTCGCCAACTCCAATTAATATTCCAGATAAACCAACTAGTTGTTTACTGTTTGGTCCTAATGCTGTGGTAAATCCAATGCTTGAACTATAAACACCACTATAAAATGACAAGTGTAAACCAGTAAATGTTATTAAGATTATCATCGAACTATACTCAAAATTTAAACTTATATATATATAATAAAACATTATTTGTAATATTTTCTACTTACCAGTAAAAAAAAATGACATATTTAATAAGCACATATCTTCAGTAAGAAAAAGTGACATGGAATTTTTTATTTCTTGAATGGGATTTAAAGTTTCTCCTAGTTCGTTTTCAGCTCCCTCAGAACTTACAGGAGATCGTAAAAGTAAAAATAATAATGTACCCAAGAAACATACAGCTGTAAGAACAGTGAACACTAATGTTCGAGTTTTTTCATCTAAATGGGTCTTATCATAAAGAGCAAAAAATACAAATGTATTTCCTAGAAACATACTAAAAACAAAAACAAAAATTATATATAATTAATATACTAAAATATAACAATACAGTGATACTAAATATTAAAATATTGAAGAGCAACATAGAAAAACCAAAATATTGTATAAAATTAATTTAATTTTAAATTATTATAGACTTTTTTAATTTTATTTAAAGTTTTGGTGTTATTAAAATTGTTTATTGGTACCAAAAAAGAAAAATTGGTTTGACACAATAGGGAATGCAAATGTATATATTATTCTTATACATTTTATAATTATGTATACAATGAGAATAATTTAAAAATAATTTTTCCTCTCTTTTTTCCAAATTCTTTATCCCCTAAAAACTCCACCCTAAATAAATTCACAATAAATTTCATTATCTAATCCGTTTTCAAAATATAAAGACAATGGGCTTTATAGTTTTCATGTAGAATAAACATGTACATTTTGCACTTAATAAAAATATTTTTAGAAAAAGAATAAGCTTTGAAATGTAATAATGATGGTAATATAATAATAGTAATGTTAAATTTTTGATTAAAAGAAAAATAAATTTAAAACTATGTATAACTTAAGTATATTATTACTATAAATAAAAATTTAAATAACAAATAATCTTTAAGACATAAAGTACTGCAGTATAAATATAAATTATAGTATGCATTCAATATTGTATACATATAATTATTTAAAATATTATGCCAAACAAATAATAAGTACCTCATTTGTAACAATGCCCAAAATACTCCTGAGTTTCTGGACATTGTAGATGAATCAGAATTTAATGTTAAATATGTTCCTTGACCAGTCCAAATAACTGAAGCACCAAAACCGACAATTGCAGACATTAAATAAAGTAAATATGTTGCAGGCCAGAGAAATGAAACTAAAAACATACTAAACAAAATTTTGTTATTTAATTTAATTAAATAATAAGATATCAATATACTGTGTGTAAGTAAATACAAACGTGTAACAACATGCTCCTATAAACATGGCTATTCTAGACCCTGCATAACTAATAACTGATGGAGATATCCAATTGCATAATGCAAATACAACATAGATAATGGATAAACTAGTATATCCATCACCAGTAAATGATGGATAGTCATTTTGGATACTCTTCAGTATAGTTTTCTAAAAAAAATAAACAACACAATATAAAACAATATTCAATAAAAATGCTAATACATTTTGATACATTAAAGTAACATTTGATTTATTTATAAAGTTTATTAAGAAATTATTCAACTTAAACCATTAACTATTAAAATACCAATTAGGTTATTTTTAGTTATAATTATTGAAAAAATATTTTTTGAATTAATATTGTTTGTCATTTGAACCAAAAATAATTATAATCTAAAAATCTTTTAGACAAATAAAATAAAATGTAATGACATATTTTATAATTAATGATAGTAATTTTTATTTATACTTACTACTGAATAGTAAAGCTTCAATATTATTATTGTTTATTATTACTATTTTTTTAATAAAAAAAAGGTAGTCATGTTTCACTTTTCAAAATTATTTATAACTATTTTAATAATTAAATAAAAATAAAAAAATAATTCTAAATATATACCTAATGTTATCTCCATTAATTCACATATATTTTAAAGCAATTATTAATTATTGCCTTTGAACAATTATTTTTAGTAAAGGTTCTTGAAGTACCTACTGACATTAAATATCTTAGATATTAAAAAATGATAGTTAATTTTCATAGAAATATGTTCATACTCAAGAATAATAAGAAAACTTTAAATTCTTTTAATAAAAATAAAATATACAAAAACAAATCTCCTAATTTTAAACAATAAGTTAATAGCTCAGTAAAGATTCAATGTTTTCAAACCAAATACACTCAATTCCTAATAATATACCTCAATATTTCCCATTGTTTGAAAAGCAGTAAAAACAAACATAAATGCTAAGCCAAGGAGGCTAACATTTAAGAGTCTTTTGTCCATTTTGATTTATTGGTATAGAAAAGTTCAATTACTTCTTGATGTAAGTACCTGTAAATAATAATATTAATTTAAATAAATCATAAAATTATATTAGATATTCTTGAAAAAAGTATCTAATGAATATTAATATACAACATTGGTATTGATTTGTACCAGAACTAACATTAAATGTAGAATAATTAAATTTAATAGTATACATGGTATGATCTTTAATGAATAATTAAATAAACTTTTTTTTTTTTTTTTTTTTTTTTTTATTTAAGAAAAATTTACAATCTATATACAATTTATATAATAAGTAAATATGATGAGATGAATATTACAGGACATGAAAATCTTGAGGGAAGGGAGTGTCCAGTGACACTACTTCCAATTTAAACTTAGTGGGGAGGTAACTTTATAATAATAGCACTAGACATTATTTAATAGATCACGCGGCCATTTGCGTTTGAGGCGACGAGGGGGCAAATCAGGTATTGTGCAAGAAGAGAGTTTAGATATGAGTGGGTTTGGATGGTTAAAGGTATTTTTATGAAATTTGTTATAATGATAAGAGGCAAGAGTGGATATTGATGATATGTTAAGATCATGATGTAGGGTGCGGTTGCTGACGTACCAGGGAGCATTAGAGAGGACACGCAGAGATATTGATTGGAATGCTTGGAATTTGATTAGGTTTGAATTTTTAGTGGTACCCCACAGCTGTATTCCGTAAGTCATTGCTGGACGTAATATTTGTTTATATATTAGTGTTTTGTTATTTAAAGAGATTTTGGATCGAAGAAGTGGTCTTAATTTGTGAAGCCTGAGGTTAAGGGAAGTTCTTTTAGCTTTGACGTGATTAGCCCAAGTTAGTCTTTTGTCGAGAAGGAGTCCT